AGTCCAGCAATTGAATATATATATATATATATATATATATATATATATATATATATATATATATATATATATATATATATATATATATATATATATATATATATGAGTTTGTGTTAATAGATCCAGGTTCGAATTCTCTTACCAATGATCATTAACTTCTCGTATAATTTGCAAGTTATTATACGTAAGTATAGTTCAGTGCACTGCACCTATATGCTTGAGTTCCTTCGTTACCGAAAAAAAATATGACTGGATTAAGTGCAATGGAATATATACAAAGGCAATGGGAATATAAAACAACATAATCTAAAATAGTTTATTGCATGTCCCTAAAGCAAAACCTAAGTGGGACCAAATTTCAACAACTGTCCAACACAAACACATTACATTAAAATCCCAAATCATGACTGGATTAATTCATCTTAAACACATATTTATATATATTTATATGCTTTTGGAGGTTTATTATATTAAATAATAATTAAATATGAGTGTTTTGCCTGCTCTAAGAAGATATGCCTAGATTTGGTTCAAGACCTTTGATCATTAAATTATGTATTTTATTATTATTAATAATTGCTTACATCATTGCCCACTTCTTAATATTCCTTTAATTTGTTTAGCAAACTACTCTCCCCTAATTAATCATTCTTTTTTAATGGCATCCGATGAAAATTGTCAAGCTTAATACATTCATTAATTCATTAATCAATCGTACTTTGGTCGTGGATACATAATCACCGCGAACCTTCGATTCAGTGCTGAATAATCAAAAACCTATATGATTAATTTTATTTAATTTAATTTAATTTAATTAAATCAAAGATTGTATCAAACTGTAGCAGGTGGGACTAGACGTACACCTGAAGACAATATTTATATTTATGTATATATAAATATATAAATATAATTAAATCCACTAATTAGTTGGTCAATTAAAGTAATCTTCTTTAATTTTTTATAGCAATATTTTTCTAAGTACAGTGTGATAGATTTGCTGCAAAGCAAGATCGCCATCCTTCCAGGTGATTGCATCCCCATCTTTCTTTTTGACTTTTTCTTAATTAATTAATTAATCAATTGCCATTTAAATAAATATATAAAATACCCTCCATTTTCCCTCCTTTTCAATCATGAAATATTTGTTTTTTTTTTCTTTTTATAATAGTTGCTCAAGTGGTTAATTATATAATTCAACATTTATTAATTATTGCTTAAGAAATTCACACTGATCCTCTTTGGTGGGAGAAAAGTTTTATGTATGGTGTATCTACTTCATTATTTATATTATTATAATATATTTCATCACACAGTTACTATATTAATATATTCCTTTCTTGTTGACCTTTGTTACATTTTATGCTGTTTTACATGATATAACTATAATTATAATATAATATATAAACTATTCTTCTTTAGGAGATGCAATGCATAGTCAATAACCAACAGGATTTTTCTTTTGCTATATAAGAAGGGGGCAACTACGTACAACCCATCTTGTGCATCACTTCTCACATACATATATATATATACACACATATATATTCTCTCCTTGGTGTATATATATTATTCAAAGTTATATATATCAATGGAGATAAATAGTTTAACTTCCGAGAAAAAAATCAAACTATTCGGGATCGAGCTCGAGCCTGAGCCAGTAAAAAATCAAGAAAAAGGGTTGCCGGAGAGGGGCGAAAGCGTAAATTCATCCGCCTCCTCCACCGTGACTGTTTCTCCGGGACCCACGGGCGGCGACGTGGCGGCAGATGGCGGAGGCGGCAAGAAGAAGTTCGAGTGCCAATATTGTTTGAAGGTGTTTGGTAACTCACAAGCTTTAGGTGGACACCAAAATGCGCACAAGAAGGAAAGAATGCGGAAAAAGCGGTTGCAGCTACAAGCAAGAAAAGCAACCATCAACAGTTATATTCAGCCCTTTCGTAATTATTACAACGTTTTTAATAATAGCCGCGCTTGCAGTTTCAACGGCAGTAACAGTCGTAATAGTAATAGTAATAGTAATAGTAATAATAATAATTCTGCATGGTTCTACGACCCGTCTTCTCATCACGAGTTTACGATGTGCTACGAGGAATCGCAGATCAGTTTCGGCGCGTACGGGTCGGATCCGAATATGGATAGATCACCCGAAGATTCGAGATGGTACGAACCGTTTGATCGACAGGATCGTACGACGCCCGCGTTTTATTTGACGCACGCAGCTGATGCGTCGAAGGATAATAACAAAGGTTCTTCGTCGTCGTTGTCTAGTTTGAAGAAGAAGAATTGTAGTAGGAAAAGTAGTTTAGATCTGAAATTAGGGTTGAGTTTACATTCAACCATTTGAAATGTTAATTAATTACAGTAACATTATAATATTTATATATTATACATACATTTTCTTTTGCAATATGTTTTAACTGTGTTTGTATACCTTTTCTTTTACCATAAAGACAATTTAAGCCTTGTTTATTTCTTTAATTACCATTTGATTTCCGGGGGAAGTATGAAATATCTTGTTGAAATTTCTACTGATGCAAGGACTTGTTCTCTAGCCTTGGAGCAAGTCATGGATTAATCAAAACGATTTCAATTATGTATTATTATTATTTTTTTTTTTTTTTTTTTGAATTTTGGGACCAATGGATTATTTAATCCACCTCACTAATCAATTCTCTCCTAAGGCAGCCCAACAAGAAATCAGTCCAATAGCACGAAAGTCCAAGTTTTGATTAACACTTGTGAACTCCGTATCATCGCATTCAATTCTTCTTGTCTGCTTCCGAGAGACACCTGTTTCCCGATTCTTAGGCCTTTTTTGTAACCACGTAACCCCTCTTGCATAGGTTTTCATTGTATTAGAATACAATTCATATTTGTTTAATCTGTAATCGTGTTCAAACGGGTGTCCAACACTTTTCAAATTTATCGCAGCCAACTAAATAAGTGTAGTTGGTAAATCTCAACAATCGTGTAATAGCTCACAAACTACAAGAAAAATGTAAACAACACTAGCCTAATCAGATGTGACGAGCTGGTTTCTTGGTTGATAAAATTAGTGGATTGGGCCAGACTCTAATTTCCCATTTAATTCATGGGCCTCCAAACTGATGTTTCTCAGAAATTACTATTGGGCCACAATTTGGCCCAACAATCATAATTACGGTGAATTAGATTTTTTAATAAAATGCTTGGGATAATGAATAATACTTGTGGTAATGCAAATTAAGTAATTTAAATTTTAAAGCACCATATAAATTTCAAGACATTACTTAAAAAATAAGCTTGAAATTAATCGAGCTTATTAAGGATCCACTGAGTTGGTCTTATTTAATTGGACGATGTAGATCGACAATCTCAAACTTTGTCTCATTTAATTCTCATCATATTTTTTTTCATCAAATTAAAATCTTTCTGTAAATTGATAAATAATTTGCAATATATAAAAAAAATCATAACAATTATTTATTAAGAGACAATTTAGCCATCATAATCACATGTAATTAAGAGGTCAAGTTTCTTGGTCATGCCTACCTTATTACATGTATTATGAGATCAATGTCTCACCTTTTTCCAATCAATTATGCATCTGAATCCGATCTAGCTTTCTTCACCCTCTAATAATTGAACTACCTAAAATTAATCAACCAACAAAATAATTAATCCACGTGCTTCAAAATAATTTTCAATAAATTAATTAAAAGTCTTCTAAATTAACCCTGATTTTATACCGGATTTACATTTTAATCACACTCTTAAATATACAGATTGACTATCAAGGACTTTCGCTTTATAAGAACCAATCATTGCACGACACCTCATCACTGCTACGGCTAATATACCTCGCACGCGCTTTGCACGTGGTTCAAATTTCCTTCACAGCTTACCCGCGGCGCATGGTAGCAAGCAGCCAGCAATAAATTTGAATTTTTAAATACACGGAAAAGGAAACAAACAAGGAAGAAATATAATTAAAAAAAAAAAAAAAACACAGAAAATGCCACCTAATTTCTCCAGCTCCCCTAAATTTCTGTTCTTAGGGTTTTCCGAAATTTCTCTTCTCCAAAAGATTTCGTAATTTTTTATTCCAATCAATCCGAAAAAACCTGTTAATTTGAATTTTCTTGCTCCCAGCGAACATTTCTATTTCAGTACAGAATCTTCGAATTGGAGTTATGAAATTTGCCGCACATTTTTTAGCAGCAAGATGAGGGGTTCTGTGAATTTGCGTCTGGATTCGAGCTCTGGTTGAGTTTTTATATACTCGCGTTGTTTGAAAATCATTTTGTGGGGGCGAAATTCGTGAATACAAGACAATCCGGGGGCATTCATCTAAACCACCGAAAGGCGAGGCGGAGAAGCAGCTAAGAAGAGACGCGTACGAGGTTTTGGGAGTGAACAGAAATTCAACTGATCAAGAAATCAAGAGCGCCTATCGAAAATTGGCTTTAAAGTAGGTTTTTCTTACTTCAGTTCAGTACTTTATTACCGTTAATGTTTAAGTGTAGATTTCTGAGTTAGTGTTTTTATATTTTTCTTGAATTATAAACCGTTATATTAATTTGTTTGTATTCCGTTCAGTGTTAAATTTTTGCACTAGCTAACATTTAACTACAGCATGTTAATTTGTGCTTTGTGAAATGAGTGATGGAGATTAGAGAATAGGAAGGTTCTTGATGTTTTGTTGACATTTGTTAATTTTTCGATTATATAAACTGTGTTGTTCAAACAGATTGACTAAGAGGGGACTCTGTTGTACTAAACTGTAATCATAGTAACTCGTTGCTGCATTTCTCGTTATCTTGTTTTTTATTTCGGAAGGGGGAAAACATATGGGAACTTAAGGTACAAGTTTGTGCAAGAGACTGGATGAAATCGAATTCGCTTTTAGGGACTTTATTAGACTACTTTACACTGTCAGACCGTGAAACCGACATTTATATTGAAAATTTGGAAACTTCACTTGAGTCCATTTATCTGTTTCATATGTGTATATATGTGTCTGGCTGGGGCCAAGTACTATATGAGAGTGATAATAACTTGTTGGTTGTTTTGTGGTGGTTTTTCAACATCGTAGGTACCATCCTGACAAAAATGCAAACGACGCTAAAGCCTCCGATATATTCAAAGAGGTCACATTCTCGTATAACATTTTGTCTGATCCAGATAAAAGGCGGCAGTATGATGCAGCCGGTTTTGAGGTACGCGTTCTTGAGTTCAGCCTCGTTTGTTAGATTAGTGAATGAATTGCCTTCAGTTGATTTCATGGGTAACTTTTGTCAGGCCGTTGACTCAGAAAGCCAGGACCTGGAACTGGATCTTTCAAGCCTAGGAACGGTCAATACTGTGTTTGCCGCGATTTTTAGGTATGTTGATATCAGTTGTCAGTATCGTTTATTGATTTTCATGAGACAGTGATATAAACTTGATGTACTGTGTAATAACTTTGACTATGTTTCTGGAATTAGTAAGCTCGGAGTTCCTATTAAAACTACAGTATCAGCCACTATTTTGGAGGAAGCATTGAATGGCGTAGTAACAATTCGTGAGCTCACACTCGGGCAGTCTTTGTGTAGGAAGGTACAATTCTTCGCCTATGTTTTTAGTATGCAATTGTCTTATGTATGGTTTTTCTCTCAGGCTAAACTTTTTCTTCATTTAACAGGTCGAGAAGCAATGTGCTCACTTCTATTCTGTTACTATAACAGAAACGGAAGCACAGGCAGGATTTGTCTGTAGGGTTAATTGCTCAGACAAGAGCAAATTTAAGGTACCTAAATTTTGTGAAAATATGGGAACGTATGTGGGGATGTTTCTGTTCTCGTTGGATTAGTAATGCATAAGGAATCGTGGGAAATTGGCTGGTTTTATTTAATATCATTAGGCAATAGCACATGGCTACATCATGTTAGTCCCAGGATTGGAACCTTATTACTTCCTATAACTATTTTTTTAAATTGGAAGAGATTGATGACTTTGGTATGTGCCCTTGTTCATAAGAAGTTGAGAAAAAGACAAAAATATTAGTGCTCGTTGTTTAAATTGGATTTAATCATTTGAGGAAGTTAGGACAGTGGAAACCTGAGATAAGAGGGAGAATTTGATGTTCTGTCTGAAATAATTGAACATTATTTATGCGGCCAGCTCTTAGAGTGGCCATTTTTTCTATTATATTTTGTGTGTTAAACATATACCAATGGCACCTTAGAATGGGTTTAGTATCAGCACATACTCGTATCTTTGAAGTCGCTATCGAACCTTTCTATGGGGCGAATTTTATGATATCTAATTGTTAGATAATCTTTAACCTACTTGAAGGAGCTATAATATATGGCTGTGTTTTGTATCTGCCCTAATAATTGGCCAATTGCCAT